GTTAATTAACCTCTCTGGTCCTCTGTTTCCCAGTCTGTGAAATGGGAAGAACTAATGGTATTTGCACAATGGAGTTGCTGGATGCGGGAAGGAGCCATGGTACACATGTGGCTTAAAGGCATTCAGTGAATGGAGTTTCCTACCATCTTTTCTTGCCCAAGTCATGCAGCTAAGGAATGGCCACATCAGCTGGGACCTCTGCCCTCTTGTTGGAGCTGGGGAGCGCAGGACCTAGGAGGTAGGCACTGAGCTCTGAGGCCTAGCCCCTCGCCCTTATGCCTTCCCCTCTCTGCCAGGACCTGGGGAGTCACAAAAGGTGCAGCAGCTGGAGGAGCAGGTGCAGAGCCTGACGAAGGAGCTGCAGGGCCTCCGGGGTGTCCTGCAGGGACTGAGTGGGCGCCTGACGGAAGACGTCCAGAGAGCTGTGGAGATAGCCTTTAATGGGAGGCAGCAGCCCGCAGATGCAGCTGCCCGCCCCGGTGTGCACGAAACCCTCAGCGAGATACAGCAGCAGCTGCAGCTCCTGGACAACCGCGTCTCCACCCACGACCAGGAGCTGGGCCATCTCAACACCCATCACAGCGGTGGTGGCGGCAGCGGTGGCAGCAGGGCTCTGGGCCCAAGCCCGGCCCCTCCCGGCCACAGCGAGGAGCTGCTGCGGGAGCTGGAGCAGCGGCTGCAGGAGTCCTGCTCTGTGTGCCTGGCGGGGCTGGATGGCTTCCGCCGGCAGCAGCAGGAGGACAGGGAGCGGCTGCGAGCGCTGGAGAAGCTACTGGCCTCCGTGGAGGAGCGGCAGCGGCAGCTCGCTGGGCAGGCCCTGGGCCGCTGGCCCCCTCCGGAGTGCTGCCCTCCAGAGCTGGGCCGGCGACTGGCTGAACTGGAGCGGAGGCTGGATGTGGTGGCTGGCTCGGTGACAGTGCTGAGCGGGCGGCGAGGCGCCAACCTGGGAGTAGCAGCTGGGCAGGGGGGCCACCCCCCAGGCTATACCAGCTTAGCGTCCCGCCTCGCTCGCCTGGAGGACCGATTCAACTCCACCCTGGGCCCCTTGGAGGAGGGCTGGCGGGGGCTTCCCGGGGGCCTGGGCCACTGGCTGCCTGCTGCCCGGGGCCAACAAGAGAGGCTGGAGGGGCTGCTGGCCAACGTGAGCGGGGAGCTGGGGGGGCGGCTGGCTCTGCTGGAGGAGCAGGTGGCAGGGGCTGTGCAGGCATGTGGGCAGCTCTGCTCTGGGGCCCCGGGCGAGCAGGGCTCCGAGGTCAGCGAGATCCTCAGTGCCTTGGAGCGCAGGGTGCTGGACAGCGAGGGGCAACTGCAGCTGGTGGGCTCAGGCCTGCACAAGCTGGGAGCAGCTGGGGAGTCCCAGCAGGCCACGCTGGAGGGACTGCAAGGGGTCGCGGGCCAGCTCCAGGGTCGGGTCAATGCGCTGGATGAGACGGCTGCAGAGTTCGCACTGCAGCTGAATCTCACAGCGGTGCGGCTGGGCCAGCTGGAGGGGCTGCTGCAGGCCCGTGGGGATGAGGGCTGTGGCGCCTGTGGTGGTGTCCAGGAGGAGCTGGGCCGTCTTCGGGATGGTGTGGAGCGCTGCTCCTGCCCCCTGTTGCCCGCACGGGGCCCTGGGGCCGGCCCGGGTGTTGGGGGACCGAGCCGTGGGCCTCTGGATGGCTTCAGTGTGTTCGGGGGCAGCTCAGGCTCAGCCCTCCAGGCCCTGCAGGGAGAGCTCTCCGAGGTTATTCTCACCTTCAGCTCCCTCAATGACTCACTGCATGAGCTCCAGACCACAGTGGAGGGCCAGGGTGCTGATCTGGCTGACCTGGGAGCCACCAAGGACCGCATCATCTCTGAGATTAACAGGCTGCAGCAGGAGGCCACAGAGCACGCTACAGAGAGTGAGGAGCGCTTCCGAGGCCTGGAAGAGGGACAGGCACAGGCCGGCCAGTGCCCCAGCCTAGAGGGGCGACTGGGCCGCCTGGAGGGAGTCTGTGAGCGGCTGGACACGGTGGCCGGGGGACTGCAGGGCCTGCGCGAAGGCCTCTCCAGACACGTGGCTGGGCTCTGGGCTGGGCTACGGGAAACCAACAGCACCAGCCAGACACAGGCCGCCCTGCTGGAGAAGCTGCTAGGGGGGCAGGCCGGCCTGGGCAGGAGGCTCAGCGCCCTTAACAGCTCCCTGCTGCTCCTGGAGGACCGGCTTCACCAGCTCAGTCTGAAGGACCTCACTGGTGAGGGGGCAAGAGGAGGCACGGGGTGGGGGCACTCCTTTCAAGTCCTTTCTTTCTCCTCCCCTGACCCCGCGGCAGCCCAGCTTTAACCTCATCCACTTTCTCCTTGCCCTGCCCAGCATGAATTGCAGATCCACCTCTGTCCCAGGGCTTGGTTTGTCCACAAGAGATGATCCAAGGTCCCAGCTCCCCGCCCTCCCCTGACGGCTCAGACAGGCCTGTGGGTGGAGGAGGGGTGCTGCTCTACCGGCTAGGTACCCAGCATGGGCAGCGAGGGGCCCCATCACCCTGTCCCTGGATCCACCACCTTCCCTGTCCTTTGGAAACTCCTTTTTAAGGCTCTCCTTCAACTTAGTTTTGTCACTGTAGGTCCTGCAGGTGAGGCTGGGCCACCAGGGCCTCCCGGGGTAGAGGGACCCCCAGGCCCTGCCGGACCTCCAGGACCTCCAGGCAAGGATGGACAAAAGGGGCCCATCGGACCACCAGGTATGTGGGCTGAGATCCTTGCTGCAGCCAGGGCTACTCCCAGCCCCAACCCCGGCTGCCCCGGGCTTGACATTCTACTCTGAACCGGACAGAGAAGGGGGGGAAAGAGGCAAGGAACTGGGGCTGCTACATGGCTGACAGTGACTAGGAGCTAGGATAGTCACTGTGTTGGCCAGTTAGCTGTGGTGGCCTCACTGCTGTGTTGAAGACGATGCCTGAGCCTATAAGGTTGAACAGAATGGACCCTATCTGTTCCTCCTTTTCTTGATACGCCCAGTTCTGTTTTGGAGTCTGCATAGCACGTAGCACAGTGGGAAAGCAGATGTTTGCTGAGTGACTTAGCGAGAGCTGCCCTACTTCTCACAGCTCCCTTGTTTCTTCCCACAGGTCCCCAAGGTGAACAGGGTAAGTTCCTCTCATTCAGTGCTGGAGGGCGGGGAACTGAACTAGGATTTGGAGGATGGAAGGCCTCAGACAGCCCTGGGGGTAGAGACCCAGGAGGGGAAGGGGGCTGGGCAGCCCTGCACTGAGCATCCACTCTGACACCCTCCCTACCCCACCCAGGAGCAGAGGGGGCACCAGCAGCCTCTGTGCCCCGGGTGGCCTTTTCAGCTGCCCTGAGTTTGCCCCGCTCTGAACCAGGCACAGTGCCCTTTGACAGAGTCCTGCTCAACGATGGGGGCTACTATGATCCAGAGACTGGTAAGCCTGGGAGTGGGCAGCTGGGCACTGGGGGGAATGGGGGAGGCTGTGCAGTGATATGTCCCCATTCTTGCCGTTTCAGACAAGCTGAGTCTTTTCATTCTCTGGTTTGGGGAGACCCCTATTCTCTCCTTCATTTATTCATTCTCACCACAGCTTGGACTGGGGGGTGAGGTGGGGAGGGGAAAAGCCGGGGAGGGGAAAAGCCGATCATTCCACAGCTCTTTATGGGGGCCTCTTCTTGCACAGGCACTGTTTTAAGTGCTGGGGATGGGGAAATGAACAAAACACTGGTTTCCCTGCCGTCCGTGGAGTTCTAGTAGAAGAGAGGTGAAAAGACCCAGAGGGTCCCTCTGCACGTAGTCCAGGAGTTCTGCAAGGGCTCCCGGACACCTTCACGGCCCCTGCCACCTGTCTCCCTCCTGATTGCCACTGTTGTCCCCAGGCGTGTTCACGGCGCCTATAGCCGGACGCTACTTGCTGAGCGCGGTGCTGACTGGGCACCGGCACGAGAAAGTGGAGGCCGTGCTGTCCCGCTCCAACCTGGGCGTGGCCCGCATAGACTCCGGTGGCTACGAGCCTGAGGGCCTGGAGAATAAGCCGGTGGCCGAGAGCCAGCCCAGCCCGGGCGCCCTAGGCGTCTTCAGCCTCATTCTGCCGCTGCAGGCCGGGGACACGGTCTGCATCGACCTGGTCATGGGGCAGCTGGCGCACTCGGAGGAACCGCTCACCATCTTCAGCGGAGCCCTGCTCTACGGGGACCTGGAGCTAGAACAGGCATAGACAGGGAGCCGGGCCCCACCGGCCCGAAGTGTCTACGCCGGCCAAACAGCCAGCGGGGGTGGGGTGGGGGTGGGCTCCGGGGCGTCTCGCCTGGGACGGGGCCCCGACCCGGGGCAAGCTGCAGTCTCTGTACCCGCCGCAGCAGCGCAGGCGCCCAGAGCAGCGTCCTTCCCACGGTCGGAGTGCGCCGGGTCGGGGACTCTGGGGTCTCCTCGTCCAGACTTTTGGCCTGATCGCCGTCCCTGCAAGACTCGGACTGCGGAGGAGCTAATCCTCGCACACTTTGCTCCCCCAACTGGCCTCTAGGCCGAATCCCTGGGCTCCGGGACTCTCTCGAGGGGGCTCCGGCCCCCACCGCCATACTAAACTATTCAGGAATAAAGACACTTGGGTTTTCTAAAAAAAAAAAAAAAAAACTAAACAAGCTGTCTGCTCTACTATGTGTTCAGGGGTAGATAGGCGTATACAGGGGACGGGGTGAGGGAGCCCCGGGTTCCGGACCCTGCTCGCGTCCTCCGCTGTGGCAGGGGTAGCTCTGCCTGCACTTGCACTGGACGCGCAGGCGAGAAGTGCGCCCGGGGCTTGGAGCGCTAGCCCGCCCCCACTACGGGTCGCGCCTTTTCCGCCGGCGTCCGCCAGAGGGCGCTGGGAGACGAGACCGCGGCGCCGCTGGGCGGTGTCTTCCGTCACGTGACCTCCGCCGCTCATCTTGCGTGCCCCAGCTGCTCAGCGGCGGAGGCGAGGCCTCGAGCTGGGATTGGCTGGGTCTCGGGGGCGGGGCGGGACAGCGGGGACCGCGCCAGCCGCGGCTCTGGATGCCGGGGTCCGGGCCGCAGCTGCGAGGCCAGACTCAACACCGCGGGCCTAGAGTCTGGAGAGGGAGCCGCGGGTGCAGGAGAGGGCGGGACAAGCGATGCCTTTCTGCTGCACTTTCTCTTGGCATTCATGAGGTTGCCTAGCTGCGCTTCAGAGAGATTTGTATTAGCTCGGAGTCCGTCTGACAAGTGAGGAAACAGGGCGAGAATTTGAAGGCGTAGCCATCTCCTGGGCCACGCAACCTGCTAAGGGGAGGCCAGGGACCAAGACCGCGGGGTCTGCACTCCCAGGCCCGCTGGGGTCGATGCGCGTGGGGAGCAAGAGCCCGGCTCCGTCCTCTGCACCTCGCCGCTGCAGGAGGCTCCTTGGAGGAGGAGCTCGGGACGCGGAGGAGGAGCCAGTACAGACTCTGGGAGCTGGGACACGATTCTCCGGGATAAGAGGCAGAGCCCGGGAGGAACCCCGTCAGCCGAGCGGGCAGAAATCTCCGGGAGCAGCATCATGGAAGAGAAACAGATTCTGTGCGTGGGGCTAGTGGTGCTGGACATCATCAGTGTGATGGACAAATACCCGGAGGAGGACACGGACAGCAGGTAGGGGCGCCCGGGCCCCTCGGAAACCCTAGGGGCCGCTGCAGCCCCGCGTTGTGCCAGGCGGCCAAGACTACAGGGCTGCGGAGCAGGGGGTGGGGGGGCCGGGGGGCCCGCAGCGAGGCCTTGAGAGTCGCCTTGGGAGCTGGTGCCCCCTGCCCTCTGCCCGGGACCTGGGGAAAGAATTGAGGCCTTTAGTAGTAAGATCCAGGCTTTGGATAGCGTTGTGTTCTCCAGTTCCCATTTCAACCCTGGGACCGTGTCAGACATCATTATCCCCATTTTACCCGAGTAGGCTAAGCAAGTAAAGACCCTGAGGGACGCAGTTATTTATCCACGGGCACACAGCTAGGAAGGTGCAGAACCAGTTTTTTTCTTTTTAACGAGAACTGTGCACTTGCCTATCACCAGCATTTACTTCTAATTTATTTACCACATATATATCTCATCTGTGTCTTTAAAAAATTTTTTTTGAGGTAGCTTACAATAAGAAGTATGTGCAGTTAGACTGTACAAGAACTTTCAAAACCATGGTGTTCAAGCTTCCCTGTAGCTCGGGGCTTGCTGGCACGGCAGGCAAATTTGGAGATGCTGTGAGTTATGGGTAGAGCTGGCTCATGAGCCACACAGACTTTTCCCTGGTGCCGAATTCCAGAAGTTTACCAGAAGTCCTATTTCCAATACTCAGTGAACAGCATAGTGGAAGAGACCCTTCTTGGTTGTCTGGTAGAAGTTGAAAAGTCATTTGTTGGTTCCCGTATTTACTCTTGATCACCCTTACACTGTGATCCCGAGACACTGCTGTGTGGTGGAATCCGTGGCTGTCTCTTGGTGCAGTCTAGTGCTCAGAATACGGACAAGAACTGCTTCTTGGCCCTCACTTGTCTCAGCTAAGAACTGGATAAAAGGCGAGTTCAAGATTGAACTCGGGAAGGACACTACAGCAACCACAGCCAGGAGGCTCACTGAGGGGAGAGCCCCCGGCATTCTTCAGGCCGTGGGTCCACACAGCACTGTCACAGGCATTGTTACATAGTTTCCTCACAGCAGCCCATGGGAAGCGTGTAAGGATCAGTCGCGTCCTCTCTTTAGAGATGAGGAAGCTGAGGATTTGGAGAAATTAGACAATTTCTGTGAGGGGCCACGTAGTTGATGAGTGGCAGAGTGGTGGTCACAACTCAAGCGTCCTGATGCTAGTGTTCCAGCCCTCCGCCCTCTCTAGTGCTCCCTGTTCCTTTTTTTTTTTTTTTTTTTTTTTTGCGGTACGCGGGCCTCTCACTGTTGGCGCCTCTCCCGTTGCGGAGCACAGGCTCCGGACGCGCAGGCTCAGTGGCCACGGCTCACGGGCCCAGCCGCTCCGCGGCATGTGGCATCTTCCCGGACCGGGGCACGAACCTGTGTCCCCTGCATCGGCAGGCGGACTCTCAACCACTGCGCCACCAGGGAAGCCCCTCCCTCCCTGTTCCTTTGCTGCTGCCCGCCTCATGGAGTTGACCCTTTGCTTTGGGCTGCTTTGTTTGCCAGAGGTGACAGCCCCTGGCAGAAGGTGCAGGGACAGTGGGGGGAGGCACAGGGTATGCTGCTGTGTGGACCTAGCCCACCTACCAAGGTCAAGCCAGCCCCAGGACTTGGTGTCCAGTGAGGAGGCAAGTTTACTTTCCGGAGAACAGTGCAAATTCTGGGGCTCCAGTTTCTCTAGGAACTGTGGAGGACCTCCAGGGGACCCAGAGCACTTGCTCCGCTGGAGCTGAGTCCCGGTGCCTTTGAGCTTACTCATGTTGGAAGGCTGGGACAAGAGCCTGCTGGTCCCACCCTGACGGGAGCTGGTTCCGACGCTGGGCACTAAGCAAGGTGCCTCTCTGAAGAGACCCTCTGTGCTCCCTGCACTTTAGGGAGTATCTCCCTGCTCCCCCAGACCCATGGCTCTGCTTCTGTGTGGAGCAGTTTGGTTGTCCACAGGGCCTCTCTCCTGTGCTCCCATCCCACTCAGCCCAGCTCCTGGACTCTGTCTTGCCTCCCCGATGGGCAAACCTGAGTGGGGACACAGTCCTTCCCAGCATCTGAGCCCCACCTTTCCCAGGCTCTCTCCATAGGCAGCCGAGAACTGCCACCTGGAACTCAGCCAGACCCCTGAGGAATGGCCCTGCCTCCCAGAGTCCTGGCTGAGAAGGACCTTCCGGAAAGCATCTTCATGCTCAGCAGAGCATTTCTGCACAGAAAGTTGGGTGTCAATATAACTTTGAAGGGTTTCCACAGAGTAGAACTGTATACCCTTTCCCTGAAGCCGCAACAAGCTGGGACCCAACTACTTTCCATTCAGAGACCACTTGCAGTGGTTTGGGGTCAGGAGACCCGGGTTCTGGTATCAGCTTTGTCATTAACTGTTGTTGGGACCTTGAGCAAGTCCAGTCCCTCCAGGCTTCTCCTCTCTTCTCTGCATGAAAATTTCTCTAAAGCTCATAGCTTGAGAAATGTTTGACCTTTTGCAGATTAGTATCCTTCTTTCTAATGAGATCGTGGTCCCCTTTTCCCAAGGCTGAAGGGAACTTCAAGGTTAAGCTTTGTGTACAAATATACCCTAGCCTAAAAATTCTACTTCATTCATTTCTCTTAATTAGTAGTTCTTCGGTACTTGTTCCCCTTATCGTAAGCTGCCACAGTTATTATTATCCTTTTTGGAACTGGAAGCATAGAAATAACAGCCTGTACTGTTACCTCACAGTATTATTGGAGCACAAATGAGAAATCATTCAGGTTCTTTGACCATGTATGCATGAGTTATCATTTTTGTTGTTGATGATGACAATGAAGCCCTTCAGGTGTATCTTGACTTAGTTTCCTTTTGTTAGATTTTCAGTAAAGATGGAGAAAAAAAAAAAGGAAGAAAAAAAAAGGTAACTATGCACTGTGATGGATGTGTTAACTAACCTTATTGTAGTAATCACTTCACAAAATATATGTATATCAAACTCATCACGTTGGGGCTTCCCTGGTGGCGCAGTGGTTGAGAGTCCGCCTGCCGATGCAGGGGACACGGGTTCATGCCCCGGTCCGGGAAGATCCCACATGCCGCGGAGCGGTTGGGCCCGTGAGCCGTGGCCGCTGAGCCTGCGTGTCCGGAGCCTGTGCTCCGCAACGGGAGAGGCCACAACAGTGAGAGGCCCGCGTACCAAAAAATTAAAAAAATAAAAAATAAATAAATCATCACGTTGTACACCTTCAGCTTTCAGAATGTTATATGTCAATTATATCTCAATAAAGCTGAAAAAAAAGGAGAAACAAACAAAAATGGAGAAAAACTGGTCTTCACTCACTGGTCTTTTTAACTTTTGTCATCATAAAAGTTACCACACACAACTTTCTTAAATGATCACAATGTCCGGGTTTGCTTCCTGTCTTAATTATTTTAATCTGAGTTATTACTGAAGTGGTCTCTCCTAAGACAGAAGCAGCAGGAGATTTGCCACCTTTGAGAAGAGGCAGCTCTCAAGGAGGAGGCTTGGTGGGGGGTCCCTGTAACAGAGGAGGAAGTAACCCAAAGTCAATGAGACCCTCAAACTGTGATGGGCCCAACTGAGTACTTTCCTGATGTCATAAGAATAGGTGAAAGATAGAAATGAATCACTGTGAACTTGAATTTAGCCTGGGCTGGGGAATAGCTGAGCCTCTTCCCTTTGCTGAGCCTAAGGCTGGCCTGGATGCTTTCTGAGGGGAATCGCCTGGCTTTTACATCCTGCGGGCCCTACTCAGGGCTCAGCCCTGCTTATCCCAGCCCCAGCCTGCTGGATCTGCAGGGACCCTCCTTGTGTTTTGCAGGTGCTTGTCCCAGAGATGGCAGCGTGGAGGCAACGCATCCAACTCCTGCACTGTCCTCTCCCTGCTTGGAGCCCCCTGTGCCTTCATGGGCTCGCTGGCCCCGGGCCACGCTGCCGAGTAAGTGGAGGGAGCAGGGGAGGGTGGCCCACAGGGTGGGGGGAGAAGAAGGAAGCCTTGGCCCTGGGTGGGCGGTCTCTGAGAAATGGTTTGTGGCCACCAGAAATGGGTGGGGCGTGGGGAGTGGAGTACCGGCATCCCAGACCCTCCCTGGTATGGCTTATCTGCTGCTCAGTTGTTAACGCTGCTCCTGTTAAAGGTTTCATTTTCACAGCCTGTTTCCTTGGCCAGTCCCTGGAGCCTGCTTCGGCTTCCCACCTTCTTCTTCCTTGTTTCCAACAGACTGTCTGCGGTGGATGTGACTTTGCCCTTCTCAAGTCCCTAATCCTGCCTGTCCTTTTGGCAGAAGGCAGTTAGGGACATGCTGTACCTGCCCTCTCAGGGATGTCCTGCATCCACGGTCCCAGGGTCCAGGCCTGCAGTTTCTTTCCCAGCTGAGGGGGCAGGGCCAGTGATTGTGTCCCCGTTGTTCACTGAAGCAGCGAGAGCTCCCTGCCCAAGGACACCCCAATGCCACGTGCTAAAGCTGGGCCCAGCCCCATGCCTCCCAGCTCATCGGCTAGGAGGCTGCAGCCCGTAGTGGCCCACACGCTTCCTCTATGTTGGCTGCTGCAGGAACCCAAGAGCCCTTTGACCCCTGGCACTGCCGACTCAGCAAGCGCTTATCAGGCGGTGAGGCCCACTTTGCCCACTGTGGGCACAGGGGCAGGCTGCCAGGTTGCTGGCCTGTAAAGCACAGCCCTTTGAACCCTGGTTTGAGAGGGGCTGGTGCCAGAGCCCAGCTCCAAGCCGCAGCCAGATTCCCTTCCTTATGAACTGGCACGAGAGCCTGCCCTGTGATGTGGGACAGAGGGACCCGGAGCCAACAGCTGCTCACTTGTCAGCCCTCGTCAGCAGCTGCCTTCCCTCCCAGCTAGAGCAAGACCGTGCCTCTTGCTTTGGGGTGGTGGACCCACCTTTGTGTGGCAATCATGCTGATAGCTGGGCCATTCCAAATTCTCCCCATGTGTTCAACAAACACTGAATGAGCACCTACCATGTGCCTGGCACTGTGGGTGCAAAAAGTTATTTGGCAAAAACCAAATCATATTCTCCATGCTGTGGGAAAGCTACTATTTAAAGGATCCTTGAGACGTAAGGCAAGGAATGATGCCCCGATGTGGTACCTCTATACAGATCTTGTCCAGCCTTGGTGTTGCCGAAAGTGGGGTTCAGCCATAGTGAGAAAGGCCAGGATGGTGGCTGGACTGCTGGGCGTAGTGGCCACAGCTCATTTCCAAAGAGCTGGGAGGGATGGGTGACCTCCTTGTTCTGCTGGTACAGTCTTCCAGAAGGGCCACCCCCCGGCTCACTCTGATTGGAGGGGATTCTGAGCGAGAGTCCTGGACCCGGTCCATACTGAGGGGCCTCAGGCACTGAGAGGGCTTGCCACTGTGGAAGGAGCGGGTAGTGAGCAGGGCCACCGAGGCTGGGCATCGTGGAGGCAGGTGTAGAAGGACAGGAATCACGTTAGGACCGGAAGGACTTCAGAGAGTGGAGTACCATGGGGATAAGCAAGCAGAGGGCACCTGGGGGACAAAGTATCACCTTGGTCATTATTAATACTGCCTGGGCCTTGCGTGATGCGGGCCACAGTGCCCTCACCTGCTAGGTTCAAACAGGGTGCATGTTCTAGGTCCCACATCTACCCCATCCAGCTTTATGAACGTGAGCAAATCCTTTCCAGCTTGAGTCAGATTGAAGGACAGGGTCAGGGTTGGAGTTTGCTTCAGTCAGGACCTAAAAGAATGTCCCTTAGGGTTTTTCTCACTAAGCTCCAGCCATGCTCTCCTGCCTCTCCTGCCTCCACACAGCCTGTGACAGTGACTCCCAGTCCCATCCTAGCCCCTGTGCTTGCACCCCAGGGTCCCCGGTGGCCCTGCCACCTACCCTCCAGTCCCCAAACCCCCGTCGAACTGCGCCTCCCCGGGTTACTCCGCCCTGGCAGTTTTGTCCTGGACGACCTTCGCCGCTATTCCGTGGACCTACGCTACACGGTCTTTCAGACCACAGGCTCCGTCCCCATTTCCACAGTCATCAGCAGCGAGGCCAGTGGTAGCCGCACCATCATACATGCCTACAGGTTTGTACATCCGTCTGCGCCTTGCCAGCTGCCGCCGCCATTGCCGTCACTCAGCTCCCAGAGCAGGACCCTCTCTCCAAGACCCGCGTGCTCCGGCACCGCTCCCCACCCCGCGGGAGGTCCAGGCCCCTGGTAGCCTCTAATCTGTGTCTCCTTGCCCTTCCCTTGGCTCGGGCTCCACCCCAAGCTTCCTGGTGGCTGACTTCAGGCAGCGGGGCGTGGACGTGTCTCAGGTGGCCTGGCAGAGTAGCGGGGAAGCCCCATGCTCTTGCTGCATCGTCAACAGCTCCAATGGCTCCCGTACCATTGTGCTCTATGACACGTAAGGCCCCCTGGCCTGCCCTGCCACAGCCCACCAATTAGCTCCCTCACTTGCCACGTGGGCAGCCCACTTGCCCACCCTCTGTGGCCTCTCTCTTTGTACCAGAAATTGTCCCTATGCCAAACTGTTCAGTGATTTCGGAATTGTTCTCAATTAGGGGAGAAGTGAGGTGGGAAGGGATGGGCTTTGCTCTGCCTGGCGACTTGGCCTTGGTCAACACCAAGGATGGGCGGGCAGGCCTGTGCAAACTGTAATTTATTATGTGATTCCTCCATAATCAGCCAATCAGCAGCCTGGGTGTGAGTATGGGGAAATTGTTCTGAGGACAGAGGGATGGGAGATGTGATTCAAACCATCTTGAGCCCTGAAGGGGGCCCACTGGGGTTTCCAGGGTCAGCCCCAGAGTTGCCAGCCTGCAGCATGGCACCAGGAGCTGAGGTTTGGGTGTTCGAAAGAGATGAGCAACCCCAAAGGTCCCAGCATAATGAAGCCAGACCAAATGCCACACACCACTCGCAGCCATTGCTGAAGGAGGGAAGGGGAACACTGGCTCAGCAGAACAGGGCTATCTGACGTGTTGCTAACCTCGGGCAGGGCAGGGGCATCCCTTTAGGGTCCCAAGCTTCCAGGGAGAGACCCCTTCTCATCTCTCCCAGATTCCCTCCTGAAAAATCTCAAGAGGTTTAGTTTACTGAGAAACTAGGGTGTGCCAAGTACTCTGTTAGGGCAGAGATGGCCCAAGCCCAGCTGCCCTGGGGTTCTGACTGTCCCTGCTGCCCAGCACAACCACTGAACCTGTGGGAGGGGCAGTCATCCTAGAACAAGATTTATAACCAGTGGCCCTGGGCTCTTTGTGTCCCAATGAATGAGTGGGTAAGCATACATGCTAGACACGATCTTCCCATTGGGCAACCCTAGTCATCTGCCCATTAAGCAACAATCTGTAGCAGCTTTGATCAGGGACACAACATGGGTATTCACGGGAAGGGAGGGAGAGGAGCTCCAAGGAGAAATGTTTATTGCCCACGGCCTCAGTCCAGGCATATCCACACACATTATCTCCAGCTGCAGCAGGCCTGCGGGGCTAGGGGTTCGGTCCCATTTACCGAAGGGGAAGCACCTCAGAAAGGCCACAGTCACCCAGCTAGTTAAATCGAAGTAGGATTTGGCGCAGAACATGGAGGGGAGGACACTGGCTGTGTGTAGGTCTCTGGGCAAGGAAGGTCAAGGCGGACCCATCCCAGGTCTCCACACCTAAGTCGGCCAAAAATGAACTCATTCTCAAGCACCAACCTTGATCCCAGGGTCATAACATGGAGCTGCCAAACTCAGGACAGGGCTGCTGTCACCCCTGGGGTGCCTGAACTGAGAGGACCCAGACCCGAGCTCCAGGCAGAACGGCGTGGCCTTTGTAGTTTCCCAGGGCACTGCGTGGTGGTAGCTGTGTGTGCTGCTGGCAAGAGGAATTCTGGGAATTGTAGTCCCTGGTGCTCTGAAAGCATTTTGGGAGATATGGTCTGCAAGGCACGCAGAACTGGTCCCTTGCTTGACATATGTGGTGGTTGAGTTTGCCCTTAGATAATATCACAGCCTCAAACACAGGAAGGGGCATCCTAGGAAACTGCCTGCAGCCCCCTGTGTGGATGGAGCTGAGCAGGGCAAGGAGTGGTCTCGAGTTTAGCCTAAGACAGGGTCTGTCCTGGAGCCAAGCCTCAGAAGCATGTGCTATAGATTCAGCTTCCTGCCATGCTGCAGGCAGCGCCACGCATAGGGGCCGTAGCAGCCAGTTAGAGATCCTGGCCCTGGCTGACCTCACCATGCCCCTTCTCTGTCCTTTCTGTCCTGCGACTCAGGAACCTACCAGATGTGTCTGCTAAAGACTTTGAGAAGGTTGACCTGACCCGGTTCAAGTGGATCCACATTGAGGCAAGCCCTGCCCTACCTGTGTTTTGAGGGCCTCAACCTGCCAGCCCCTCCACATGTTCTGCCTTCTTCTTGGTTTCTTTGAACCATGAAGTACCTTAGAGATCAATGAATCCAACCCCCCTCACCCACTCTCCATCCTCCTTCTATGTTTTCAGGTCCAGAAAGGCCCAGAAAGACTGGGTGATTTTCTCAAGGTCACACAGCAGGATGTAGGTGCCAGAAGCAGGGTGCTGGCTCTAGGCAAAGTCTGGTGCTTCCTGTGTTACAGGCTGCCCCACCTCCTCTGGACTTGGCCTCTGGCAGGAGCTTGGCTGTGGGAGGCCTGACCTGTTACCTCTGGGGAGGCAGGAATGGGAGGGCCTGACCCAGCTCCCAAATAAAGGGAACTAGAATCTTCATTCCAAGAGAAGTTTTGGAGTCTAGGTGGGAGGAAACCTTGAGAAGTCCTGAGTTCTAATCCTAGCCCTGTCATTTAATTTATTGTAGGTCCTTAGGAGAGTCTCTCTTTTATTCTTTCATCTTCTCATCTGAAATGGGAGGGCTGGTCAATAAGGTCTCCAAGGTCCAGAATAGCACTAGAATTTTGAGACTTAGGTTGGGTTTCCGGCCCAGCCTTCCTGGCCCCTCTCCCCCCTCACCCATGGTTCCAGCAGGGAGGGAAGAATGAGGCAGAATGAGACCAGCGCCCAGCTGGTCCTGAGTTGCCTGCCCTGCCCTGCTCTGCCCCAGGGCCGAAATGCATCAGAGCAGGTGAAGATGCTGCAGCGGATAGAACAGCACAACGCCAGGCAGCCTCCAGAGCAGAAGATCCAGGTGTCTGTGGAGGTGGAGAAGCCGCGAGAGGAGCTGTACCAGCTGTTGGGCTACGGAGACGTGGTAAGCATCCCCCACGGCCCCCCACCTTGCCACATCCAGCTTAATTTGGTCCTTAAAGGGAGTCCGAGTGTCCCCTTGTCCTGCCTGTCACACTTAGGGCGGCACTTTGCGGCTTGGTGATATTGGCAGGTGGGGGCAAAGCAGAGGCAGACCTCTAGCTTAGGGCTCTAGTGCAGGCCTCAACAGCGGCCAAGGAGTAGAATTTCTCCAGCCCAGCGGGCGCATAGGTATGAAGGCAGCCAGAGGGCTTGGTCAAGGCCAAGACAGCCAGCCTCAGGGCCAGCCTGCGTGGAAGCCTCCCCTCCCTGGGCCTCCTGTCTTTTCCTCTGTCAAATGACAGGATGGGACTGTTCTCCGAGGTGCCCTCCAGTTCTGTAGGGGGTGAGGGAGGATGGGAAGGGGGCTTGCGCATGGTAAGTGTGGAATGTACGTGGAATCGGGATGCTAATCTAGCATCACAGTGGCAGCTCGTTGGGCCTCAGCCTTGGTTGCACGTTAAATGATGTGGATGCCTGAGCCCCACCCTCATTTTTTTTTTTTTTTTTTAATTTGGTTGGTAGAGGTGAAGCCTGGGCTGAAGTATTTTTTTAACAAAACACCCTGGTGATTCTAATATGTAGCTGGTGTTAAGGAAGCTCTAGAACCCCTATCCCTTTGTTTTAAAGATGAAGAAATCAGACCTAGAGGGCATAGCTGTATGCGGAAAGCCAAACAGAACAAAAACCCTCCTGAAAGCCGTGGTTTCACCTGCCAGTTGTAGATTGTGCCCCAAGATGACCTCAAGACTCACTCTGGGTTTTCAATTGTGAGGAAATTCGTTGATCTTAGAATAGGCCGGGGCTTTCGTGTCACAATTTACATGGCTGTTTTCTAGCATATCCTGAGCAAGTATGAAAACGTGTTCCTGAGGGACAGCGAGATGCTACTTGGGGGTTTAGGTGGCCACGATGGAGGAGCAGGTTGCTGGTAGTGAGGGACAGCTGGGGTAGAGCTCAGCTGACTGTCAGCCTCTCTTCCACTGCCCACAGGTGTTTGTCAGCAAAGATGTGGCCAAGCACTTTGGGTTCCAGTCAGCGAAGGAGGCCCTGAGGGGCCTGTACGGTCGCGTGAGGAAGGGGTGAGCTAGCGGAAGCCAGGCAGCGGCCCGGGTACGGGGAGTGAGGGAGCCTGGCCTCCAGGGTCTGCCCCGGGGAGGGATAATGAGGCTGGGGGCCAGGGCTGGGCTAACACCCAGCTGAGTGGAGGGTGTCACAGGGCTACGCTGGTCTGTGCCTGGGCTGAGGAGGGTGCCGATGCCCTGGGCCCTGATGGACGGCTGCTCCACTCCGACGCTTTCCCACCGCCCCAGGTGGTGGACACTCTGGGGGCCGGAGACACCTTCAACGCATCCGTCATCTTCAGCCTGTCCCAGGGTGAGTACCCCAGCAGCAGGCCCAGGGCCGGGGCCTGCCCCTGCCCAGAAGGCCCGGCTGATCTGGCTGCTCATCCCCCCCCTCCAGGGAAGAGCATGCAGGAGGCACTGAGCTTTGGCTGCCAGGTGGCGGGCAAGAAGTGTGGTCTGCAGGGCTTCGATGGCATCGTGTGAGTGCCCTGTGGCAGGAAGCACCGGCTCACATCCCCGCCCCGGGCCAGCAACACTGGCTGCCGTCGCCCTCTCTTCTCTGGCCAGCTGGCATCAGGCTGCCTTGCCCCCCCAGGCAGATGCAGGCTGTGGGAGGGCTCCACCTGTGACCTGGCATCTCACATGGCAGAGCTGCAGAGCAAATAAATCTTCCCCAGAGCCAGCTTCCTTCTGGCAGTCTGTTTGTCTTCGATGTCTGAGCTGCTCTGGCTGGGGATTCTGGAGGCTTTGATCCTGCAGTCCTTCGCCCTTTTTTTCTCTAGTCCCCAAATTCACCTCCTGCCCAGGCCCAGAGGAGGGGCCACCCAGACCAGAGCAGCAGGAAGTGCCCCAGGCTTGCCACCAGCTGTGCCCCTGCTGGGGCCCCAGCTCAGGGTAGAGGGCCAGACTTCCAGCCTTCCTGGTGGGGGAGGAGACTTAACCCCTTGCACCCCAGGGAACCTTCCAAATAACCACAAGCCATGAGAAAAGCTCCTCTGGGCCCCAGCTCTGTCACAAGACTCCAGTGGCCACAAGTGTGTCCACATGGCTGAGCCAACCTGACAGGCCAGCGGGCAGGGAGCCTCCTCTGGTTTGGCGGCGCCTCTGCAGTCCAAAAATATCTCCCCAATGACTGACCCCGAGCCTGACCGCCCCCCCTTGGAGCCGCCTTGTGGTTAAGGCGGTGCCTGCGCCACAAATATGACCCGGAATGCAAAGCATTGCTTTCCCTGGGGGAGACCTGGTCTGAGGGCATATGGGAATTGGTGAATTTCCACATGGGAGTTGGGGCAGGGGGGTGAGGCCGTAGAATGTGATAAAAGGTATGGGCTTTAGGCTCAGACAGGCCTGAATTCAAATCTGCCACTTACTTAGCTATGGGACCATGAGTACATTACTGAACTCCATCTTCCCCAATTTCCTCATCTGTCAAATGGTGCTAATTCTGCCTGGTCATAGAATTATCGTGAGGATAAAATCACAATATGTAAAATGACCAGCATGATGCCCAGTGTGTACTAGGTTCTCAATAAATGGTAATTATTAATATTTTCAGGGGTGGGGAGCAGATACAGGATGATGGAGAAGATCTACCCTGAACTGCAGGAGGGCGTTCTAGTGGTTAGGCCCCAGGGAAAGGCTGAGCTCCCTTCCCCGGGTTGTCTGCAGCTGGCTGTGGCCTAGTGCTGTACTCTGCTGTGTCTCAGCACCATCTGGGAACACTGGGTAAACTGAATTCCTGCACTCCCAAGAGGACTGCCCAGTCCCGACCCCCTGCAGCCTGAGGTCAGGGCAGGCTGGACCAGTGGATCGATGGCCCAGAGGGATGGGTTCATTTGGTTCTTTATTGGTTTTCTGGGCCCTAAATCTGCCCTTCAACTTAGGGTCTCCCTGAGCTGCACAGGAAGACCTGCCACCTACTGGGGCCAGGAAGGGGGCACAGAGGTGGTCGTTGTCCTAACACACACACCCTACCCTTTGGGGCATATGTTCTGGCACTGAGACTTGTAGGTGTGCAAACCTGTATCCTCAAGGTTTATATCTCATCATTCTCCAGCTGAACAGCATGAACCTCAAGCTCATTTGGGGTTTTCTTAGACTCCAGTGTTTCCCTTGGAAGCTCTTCTGCTCTCTCTCCAGTGTCCCTGGCTTCTACCTGTCCCCCAACCTCCCCGCCAGGGCCTGGGGCTTCTCTTGCAGCCTCTGCCTGTCCCCCAGCCTCCTGTACAGGTTCCAAGGACTCCCTTCTGGCCTCCACCTGTCCCCCAGCTTCTTCTCTGGGACCTGGGGCTTCATGTGCTTCTTGTCTTGACGGGCTTTTAGCCAACAGAGGCTGCCTCCCAACATCCTGTGGCTCTGGGGGCTCTTTGAGATCTGTGTGCCTCGGGGCCTCTCCGGGGAAGTTGACGAGCTCTGCAGGGGTCATGAGCCCATCCCCATTCAGGTCCTGGGTCTCCAGCACCTCATCCACTACCAGGATCACCTGTGGAAGGGTCTATAGTGACTGGAGATGCTCCCAGGAATCCTGACCCTCCCAACACCCCCCTGCATCCCTGCCACGCAGGCTTTGAGTCCTCCTTTCACAGGGGATTCACCAAAAGAGTCATGATGAAAAAAACCAAAGCCCCAGGGAGCTGGGTCTTCTTCTGGGAGAAGGGCCCCCATCCAGCAGGGCTTACCGGGTTGGTGGTGAGAGAGTCGGAAGCTCCAGGGGCCAGAGTTGCTATCAACATGGACAACAGCTCCAGGCCATCCAGCTGTCCACTCTGGTCGTAGTCGTGGAGAGCAAAGAGGTAGAGGAGAACTAAGGAAGAGAGGCTGGATCAGAAGACGCATCAGGGGACAGGTGGATCAGGCAGGAGTCGCGGGATGGCCTGAGGTCAGTCCCAGCTCTGGCTGCCCTGGGCCTCCCGTCCACGGGCCCCATCAGCCCAGCCCCTCACCCTGCTCCCGGCTCATGTGCTCCGGCTCCTCTTCCATCCTCTCTAGTCCCTTTAGGTAGCTCTGCAGAAGTCTTGCAGAAAAGCGGAAAATCAGTCCACGAGAAGCCAGTCTGCAGCCCCAGGCCTGGCCCTCGGGTGCGCCCCACCCCAGCCTACTCACTGAAGTTGCTCCTGGCCTGGCTGGAAGGGGTTGGGTAGAGGTGGATGCTGCACTTCAGGGTCCAGCCTGGAGGAGGGAGGGAAGCACCGGCCTCGCAAAGGGCCTCCTCTGAGGGCCCAGCCTCACAGCCTTCCATCCCCAAGCTCCTGGTAGAGTTCTCCCCCCAGACCCAAAGGGAGCTGCTTCTCCAGGTCCCCAAAAACCTTGTGGGGAGGAGGCCATTCTGGCCTCCTCAGAAGCAGAACCTTACTCCCCAGACTCTGCCTTTGCAGATTCCTAGCTTAGATGGTAAGTGAAAATCCCAATGAAACATCTGGTTTGGTGGAGGCCAGAGGAAGCCGCACCTAGTAGACACAAGTTGGAGACCCAAGAAACCACCACAGTGGGCGGCAGGACAACATGCATCACGGCAGCCCTTCCTCTGTGATGCTGGGAGGCGGGGGACAGGTCTCTGGCTGAGCCTGGTGGCACTGCCCAGTTTTATACAGACCCGATTTGCTCCATGACACAAAGTGGACTCTTTTTTACCCCAAGTTGAGGGCATATATGTTGGTTTTGTAGTTTCAATCTGCTCAGGGGCTTTTTGTCAGTCTTTAAAACTCAACATTTGCTCGCAGTTCTGGACAGGGATCCCTGTTGGCCCCAGTCAGTCCAGATGTGTGATGCCAGAGAGCTGGCAGGAGCTGCTACAGCAACTTTTGTCGCTGCTGCCAGCCCTTGCTGCTGTGGCTGTATCCGTCCCCCGACCCCACCCAGCATACCCACTGCATAATATTAAGACACAAAACCTCAAGAAAGATATTCAAATAAAATAGAAGTGATATGCTAATGATCTCTATTTCTTTGGAGCTTCCACTATAAGGTCTTGATAAGAGGACTGTAGCCCCTTCCCAAGCTTATAGCCTCACATCTCATTGGAAATGAGCTCCCGGTTTCCAAGTGAGTCCAGCAAACGTGTCGATGCCCACTTTGCAGAGGGCACTCTAACAGGCACAAGGCAGAAGCTGAGGTGGTGGGGATGATACAGAAGTCAGGGAGCGTACACCCAGTCTTCCGCCTCCCAGAGGGGCCCACAGCATACCTCTGATTCTCCAGAGACCCCCCTGCTCCCAGCCCACAGCCCTGCCCTCTGAATCCCGTTACCTTGTGGTGCCGTGTTTGGGAACAGCCTGACTCAGGGGCAGTAGCAGCAGCAGCACTGACGTTCTCATCGTCACAGGTAACATCCTTCCTGTAGCTGGAAGTAGGAAACGGGGTTAGGGAATCAGAGGGAAGCAGTGTCTGCCACAGAGGGGGAATTGGTGGGTTAGACAGGAACGCCTCTCTCCCTGCCTCTACCTGCCACCCAGGTGACAGGACTCCTGTGCAGGGAGGAGCCACACACGGACATCAGGAACTTTGCTCAAAATAAACCTTATTCGGGATCCAGCATGTAAAGCGCATAACACAGACTTGTGCTGGGGGAAGCTGTGCTGCGGGCAGGACTATCCCACTCTTGCCCTGCCAGTCCCCCAGGTGCTTGGAGAAGTGCAGTTTAAGCACATACGATGTAGTTCAGTCCACTCATTTTACGAGTGGAAACTAGTTCAGAGAGGATGAGAAAAAGGCCAAATTAGAAGTGCACAGAGTCACAAAAAGACCAAGCCTTAAACAGGGAGGGAAACAGATTGTTGGTTTGTATTTGTATCTGTATTTGTATAAAAACTCACTGAAGAACAAATCAAAAGAGACTAGACTCCTTGAAATAGGTCTACACTCAGGTAGGGCTTGAAAACACAACAAATCAGGGTCAATCCAACAGTGGTCCCAAGAATCGCTATTTATTAAACACAGGAAAACCAGATCCCAATAGAAAGGAAAAAAACAAAAACTTTCCTTTAGACCTACATTGTGCAGGCCCATTGGCAGCACATCACTTGATTAAATGAAAATAGTCAAATAGAGTATCTATCAATGTGCAGAGCATGAAGCTTTCCAATTAGTCCCAGGATTGTGTACATAAATCGTGAGTTTCTGAGGAAGCAGAAGACCTCCAGAGCTGAGGCTGAGACCTCAAACTCATCTTTAGGAAGACAAATCATGAGGTGCTTGATGGTCTAGAGCAGAGGATCAGGAACCCTCTGAAATGGTACCCTACACTTTGGCTGGCATTGAATTTTCCTGGAGAAAGGTGTGTAGCTTTCAGCAGATTCTCAAAGAGTTCCATGACCCTGATAAGGTTCAGGACCACTGCAGGGGGAACATCAGCTTCCTAAGAGCTCTTCCTAGAGGCAGTGGGCAACTGGCCAACAGGTGGATACATGTGTAGCTGTGCAAATAGAGCTGCCTTGAGGAAGAAGCAGCACAACATGGAAGTCCACAAGAAGGTGAAGCTCCTGAGAGTCATAGAAACTGTCTCTGTTTTTCTAGACATACGTGGGCCCCAACAGATATAGTGAGTCTACATAGTTTGTAGACTAAGACCTGCCGCAACCAAAAAAAAAAAAAAAAAAAAAAAAAAGAAAAAAAAAAAAACCGAAAAAAAAAAAAAAAAAAAAAAAAAAAAGCATCATGGAGGAGATAATAGGGGAAAAAAAAGAACCTAAAAAATAATTTAAAAGGAAGACAAATAGAAAGCATAAAATAAGATGGTAAAAATAGATCCAAGTAGGGCTTCCCTGGTGGCGCAGTGGTTGAGAGTCTGCCTGCCAATGCAGGGGACACGGGTTTGTGGCCCTGTCCGGGAAGATGTCACATGCCACGGAGCAGCTAGACCCGTGAGCCATGGCCGCTGAGCCTGCGCGTCCAGAGCTGTGCTCCGCAACGGGAGAGGCCACAACAGTGAGAGGCCCACGTACCACAGAAAAAAAAAAAAAGATCCAAGTATATCATAAATTGATAAACATAAATTGTATAAACTCATAAATTGTAATAAACATAAATTGTATAAACTCATCAGTTAAGAAATAGAGATTATCAAAAGGTACATAAAACAACATACAAGTTACATGCAATTTTCAAGAGATTAACCTAAAAAGTAAAGTCACAGAAAACAAAACGGTGGAAGAAGGATATATAAAGCAATACTAGAGGAAAGAAAGCTGGCAGAGTTTTATTGACATTAGAATAAATAGAATTTAAGGTGAAAAGCATTATTATAGATAAAAAAGTATCATGACAAAATGCACAAAAGTTTAATCCCCTAGGAAGATATAATGATTCTGAACCTGTATGTACCTAATAGCATAGCCTCAAAACACCTAAAACGAAAACTGGCATAACACTATCACCTGTTAGAATGACCAAAAATCCAGAACATTGACAATACCAAGTGCTGCCGAGGATGTTGAGCAGCGGGAACTCTCATTCACTGATGGTGGGAGTGCAAAACGGTACAGTCGCTTTGGAAGACACTTAGGTGATTTCATTCCAGACTAAACATGTTCTTACCATACAATCCACCAATTAAACTCCTTGGTATTTACCCAAAGGAGCAGAAAACTCATGTCCACACAAAAACCTGCACGCAGATGTTTATAGCAGCTTAATTCACAATTGCCAAAATTTGGAAGCAACCAAGATACCCTTCGATAGGTGTATGGATAAAGAAATTGTGGTACATCCAGACAAAGAATATTATTCAGTGCTAAAAAGGAATGAACTATTCAGCCATGAAAAGACACGGAAGAATCTTAAATGCATATTACTAAGGGAAAGAAGCCGATCTGGAAAGGCTACACACTGTATGATTCCAATTGTATGACATTCTGGAAAAAGCAAAACTATGGAGACAGTAAAAAGATCAGTGGTTGCCAGGGACTGGCGTGAAAGGGATGAATAGGTGAAGCACAGAGGATTTTCAGGGCAGTGAAAATACTCTATATGATATTATAATGATAGATACGTGTCATTATAGATTTGTTCAAACCCAAACGACACCAAGAGTGAACCCTAAGGTAAACTATGGACTTTGGATGATTACGATGTGTCAGTATAGGTTCATCAGTTCATCCTGTACCCCTCTGGTGGGGCACGTTGATAATGGATGAGGCTGTGCATGTGTGGGGCAGGACGTATATGGGAAACCTCTCAATTTTGCTGTGAACCTAAAACTATTCTAAAACAAATAAATTCTTTAAAAAAAACTGGCATAAACACAATCAGGAAAATCGAATCTGCCATTATGGTGGGAGAATTTAACATACCTCATACAGTATTTGAAAGATTAAGCAGACTAAAAATTAGTAAGAATGTAGACGATTGAATAAAATATTTTCTAAGCCTGAGCTAATGAACAAATAGAGAACCCAACTCCAGTCACTTAGCAAATACATTTTCTTCTCAACACATGTGGAATATTTATAAAAACTGACAAGCAATAGGCCAAAGAATATGGCTTAGCAAATATTAAAGAATCAGTCTCATACTGTTACATGACTAAATGCAATTGTATTAGGAATCAATAACAAAAATGATGTAAAAATCTCATTTATATAAAAAATTTAAAAGGTACACTTACATATGGGTCAAAGAAGGATATCATAATGGAAACTGTTGAATACTGAGGATTGTATAATACTGGGAAAACATACATCAAAACAAGGTATGTAGCTAAAACAGTATTAAAGGGGAAGTGGGTTGGGGAATTCCCTGGTGGTCAAGTCGTTAGAACTCGGCGCTTTCACTGCCCAGGGCCCAGGTTCAATCCCTGGTCAGGGAACTAAGATCCCACAAGCCGGGACTTCCCTGGTGGCGCAGTGGTTAAGAATCCGCCTGCCAATGCAGGGCACACGGGTGAGAGCCCTGGTCCGGGAAGATCCCACATGCTGTGGAGCAACTAAGCCTGTGCATCACAACTACTAAGCCTGAGCTCTAGAGCCTGTGAGCCACAACTGCTGAGCCCACACACTGCAACTAGTGAGCCCACATGCCACAACTACTGAGCCCGTGTGCTGCAACTACTGAAGCCCACGCGCCTAGAGCCCATGCTCTGCAACAGGAGAAGCCACCGCAATGAGAAGCCCTCACACCACAACAAAGAGTAGCCCTCACTCGCCACAACTAGAGAAAGCCCACACGCAACAAAGAAAACCCAATGCAGTCAAAAATAAAAAATAAATAAATAAATTTTTTTAAAAAAAGAGAGAAAAGATAAAACTTTTTTTTTAAAAAAAAAGATCCCACAAGGTGTGTGGTGCAGGGGTGGGGGGAATATATATATACACACATATATATACACACATATATATATACACACATATATATACATACATATATATATATATATGTATGTATAGGAGAATTGGGTTGACTTAAAAACTTATATTAGAAGAAAGGCCAAAAGCTAATGAGTTAAGCTTCCAACTCAAGAAGCTAGTAAAAGAGAATAAACTTAAAGAAACTAAAAGAAATGAATAATAAAAGATAGAAGAAATTTAAAATATAATAGAGAGCAGCAATAAAGTCAAACTAGTGTTTCTTTAAAAGAACTAATGAACTACAAAACCCCTGACAATTTTCATTAAGAACAAAGAGAAAAGGCACAAATAAACAATATCAGGAATTAAAAGGGGACATAACTACAGGAATAGAAGAAATTTGCAAACTTGGCAGATATAGCCATTTTCCCAGAAAAACTTAACAGTAAAACTGACATCAAAATAAATAGTAAATTTTAATAGTCCTATAACCACTGAAGAAATTGAATCAGTGAGTATTAACCTATATTGTTTGAGGAACTATAGACGTGAACTATTTCTGGAGAGTAATCTGCAAATGTGTATTAACTGCCGTAAAACCCCTACCCAACAATATCATCCTGGGGATTACGTAAGGAAAAACACAAACAGAAAAGAAATTATAAGGATATTTATAGCTGTGCTATTAATATTAGTCAAAGAACTGTTAACACCTGTAACATTTAGGCAATGATTAAGCAAATCCTATTATGTGACAGAGCCATTAAAAATGATAAATATTTCATGGGACTTCCCTGGTGGTCCAATGGGTAAGACTCCGAGCTCCCAATGCAGGGGGCCTAGGTTCGATCCCTGGTCGGGGAACTAGATTCCACATGCATGCCTTAACTAGGAGTCCGCATGCTGCAACTAAAAGATTCCTGAATGTTGCAACTAAAGATCCCGCATGCCACAACGAAGATCCCGCATGCTGCAATTAAGACCCAGCGCAGCCAAAATAAATAAATTAATATTTTTTTAAATGATAAATATTTCAAATTCATGTTTTAAAGGAAAAAATTGACAGATTTGAGCATATCAAAAGTTTAAACTTCTGTATTATGAAAGACACTATGAATCAAGTTCAAGAAGACAAGTGATGGAGGACTGGAGGGAACAGGGTTCAAGGCTATTTGGATTTTCAGCAGGGTGGAGTTCACGACCCCCACCCCCAGCAGAGGCTTGGAGACAGAAATCTCCGTAGAGACCCTACGGAGACTGAGTGGAAATCCAAGAATGGCAGAGTTATGTGCCTAACCCGTGAGGATTAGAGAGAAGGCCCTGCCCACAGTGTTCTTGGCGGTTAGGAAGCAATGGCTTAGAGAGGGTCTAGGCAAGTGGACAGGAGGGCTGCCTCACCCAGTTCTTGGTATCCAGCGTGCTGCTGGTTTAAAGAGAGGGGTCTGAGGGCTCCAGGCTCTAAGGTGGAAGGAGGGGCACGAAATGACTGAGAGGGCCAGCTGGCCAGAAGAGGCCAAAAGGAGAGGCCAGAAGATATAGACCCAGGACTGGATGCCGCAGAGGACATCATGGGAAGTACCAGTCGAAGTCAAGACCTTGAGTGACAAGGACCAGGAAGGCGAGCCTTTGTAGGGAAGGCAAGTGTAAATATAAGTTTATAGAGTAGGGCTAATGGTACTCATTTCTTTAATATTTATTGGCACCTACTATATGTGAGGCACTATTTTATAAGTAAGATGATAATATTAGGTAAAATTACCTGTTATTTTTCCTCCTTAAAGTTTACATATTTATGTAAGTAGGAAATGATACAAATGTTAAAGCAATGATGAAGAGAAAAACAGAGAAACACAGAATTGCTAAGGAGTAGGTGGCATAGCCCAAAGTTTAAGGGTATGGGCCCTAATCTCTGGCTGCCTAATTTCAAATCCAGGCTCTGCAACTCACTAGCTGTGTGCCTCCTGTGTTTCAGAACCTCTGTCTGTTAACATGAGGTTGATGAGAGCACCTCTTGGGGTGTGGTGAGGATTAAATGAGACAAGGCGTGTAAAGCGCAGTGCCTGGTTATGCAATAAGGCATTTTCCTTCCAGAAGCTTTTCTGGATTGCTCTATAGTAGCTTCACACCATCCTGGGCTTCCCACCTGGATACCCTCAAATTGCTTTCTCCTCCCATCTGTTAACTGCCAGGACCTAGGCTAACAGGAGGCACAGGAGTAATTTAAATCCCTCAGAGCTGTCAAAACCTATTATCCAGACTTAATGTGTTATCATCACTAGGAGTTGCCTTTTAAAAAAGGACATTTGGAAACAACAAAGAATGACTCTGGTGGTAGCAGTTCAGGGATAAAGGGGAAACACCTATCGGATCCCACTAATCCAGTCACTCATTAGGCCAACTGTGCTGGTTTGAAAAACATCTACCAATTCTTTCTTGTGGGAAGTAGCTGGAGTTAAATTTGCCTTTCCTTGTATATGATCTGGACTCAGCGACTCACTTCAAACAAATAGCAGAAATGACACCATGGGACCTCCAAGTCTGAGTCATAAAAGGCAACACGGTTTATGCCTGTTTCTGGTTCTCTCTCTCCCTCTCTTGACATGCAGATATGCTTCTCTGGAGCTCTGAACCGCCAAGGAAGAAGTCTGCCACGCTGAAAAGACCGTGTGGAGAGAGCACATAGGGACAGGGATGCTTGAGGAGCCCCAGTTGCTCTAGCCTCCAGCTGCTCGCTTCCCCACCCAAGGGCCAGGCAGGTGAGAGAGCAAACCTGTAGATCATTCCAAGCCCCAGCCTTCGAGCTGCCCCAGCCAACACTGATGGAGCAGAACTGAGCTTGCCTTCTCTACCCTACCCAGAATGTACACTCATAGGCAAAGTCAATGTTATTGTTTTCAGCCACTGAGTTTTGAGGTGATTTGTCAAGTTGTCATAATGATTGGAACTGCCTTCTTGGCAGTCACACAGGGCCCTGCTCTCAAAAGGGCCCTGGGCTTAGTCTAATGCTCTGCTGTCTCTGTCTTGAAATTCTTAATCTTAGTTTTGCACTGAGCCCTGAAAAGTAAGAGCTGGTCCTGAACCCTGCCCACATGAACTACTCTTACTCTCCTCCTCTTGGTCCTATGTCACATGTGTGCAATATTCAGCATGTGCAGTGGACAGAGGACAGAGCTATGGAACCAGCCAGACCTAGGTTCAAATCCCAGCTCCACCACAGACTGTCCCCGTGACCTCGGGTAGGTTAATTACCCTCACTAAACTTATCTGCATAATGAAGATAATAATAGTACTTACGTCACAGAGTTACAGTAAATACCAAGTGGATAATGAATTACTCATTGCACAAGGAGTCTCTTATTCTTGTCCCTGCCTCTGCTATCTTTTCGATTTAAAGAACCCTCCATACGTAGAGTACTCTTCCTTTGCTGGAACTCCACTGCTCCAAACCTTCAATGGCTCCCTATTTCTATTACAGTCCAGAGTCTTCACCTGGACATTTAAGGCCTTCTACAATCAGATATCAAGTTACCATTTTAGACTCATCTTCCAGTGCTCCATTATACTAACACTCTGCTTCAGACAGAGGGGTTACTGGAGTCTGCGAAATACTTTTCATTTTCACTTTGCAGTGCTTTTGTCCAAGCTGTCCCACCCTTTACCTGGAACATCCTGTGCTCTCCTGACAACCCTAGCACTCTGGTTTCAGTCCACTTCAGAAACAAATAATTGCATGGGAACTTTTAGTGTCATCTCAGTAATATTCTCCTAAGTCATGCTTCCAAACATGGCATTTTTAGTACAGGTAACTCACCTCTATTATTTAAAGGAAGTCAGGCTAAGGCACCTCAAGTAATGTGTAATGAGGTTGGTGTAATGTGATTGCTTCACACGTTCACATTTCTCACTACAGTATTTACAAAAGCTTTTATAAGCAACAGAAATAGAGCAGCTATTGAACAACTGCCTGTCAAATAAAAACGTTCCTCATCATTTTCTATAACGTGCATAAACATAATTTACCCTAATGACCACAGAAAAGCCACCACAACTGCTAGAGTTGTGATATAATTCAATAAAGTTATTCACACCACACTCACACACACACACACACACACACACACACACACACACACTCACAATGATCCTCTAGCCTCTGATTTCTTCAAGTCTTTGCACCAGTGCATGGGAGGAAAGCCTGACCTTGCAGTTAGACCTCTGATCAAATCCAGCCTCTCACAGTACTAACAGTGTGATCTCAGCAGGTGTCTCCGTGTCTCTGAGCTCTGGGATCTTCACTTTAAAAAATGAGGATAGTGGTATCTATCTTGTAGGGGCTTGGGGAGGATGCAATGGAATAATGTAGGTTGAGTGCATGGCAGTGAGTAGATGCTCCCTGAGTATTTCAAAGACTCTAGGATGTGGCGGGGCCTTTTCTCTTGCTTGACTTCCCATCCAGTGCAAAACTGCTTGCACAGCATGCCTGTCAGTGGCCATCAGCCTCCACTGGACTTTCCAGGACAGGAGCCTACCACCCACAGGGCACGCATTCCATTTCTGCCTAATTCGAACTGTCAGAAGTAATTCTGAGCTCAATCCTCTCCCTTAACTTATCTCTCCAGGGCCGCCTGTGACTCCCAGCACCTCCCACCCGCCGGCGCAAGAGAAGAGGCACTGGCTATACAGCCAAATGGGTCCCACACCTGAGAGCTGGGCTCCCCCTGCCACTTCTAGCTGGGTGATAACCTCGGCCCCTCCCCGGTCCCCCTTTTCCTCCGCTGTCAAATGAGGATGAAACTCCTGCCAGCCTCCCCTCCCCCCGGGACTGTCAAGAGCAACGAATGAGACACCGGAGGGAAAAGCCCTTGGGGGACTGTGAACCCCCCTCATCACAGCGAGGGAGCTCAGGCCTTGCTTTCTAGGCCCTCCCTCTACGTGCTCTCAGGGGTAACCTCGGAGAGGCGCCCAGAGGCGAGAGCCAGCGCTCCGGCGGCGTCCGAGCCGCAGGGGATGCGGAGGGACTGCGCCTTCAGCCTCCGACCTGGAGGCCAGGAGACCGCCTCTGCCCGCGGTCCCGCCCCGCGGCGCCCAGTATTCCCGGCTGCCCGCGGCGGGGTCCCCGGCCCCCAGCCCGCCAGCCCCGGGCGGGGATCGCACCCACCTGCGGCGGCGCGGCGCGGCTCTGTCCGGGTCCGGCTGGGTCGTCGCTCGAGGCTGTGCGCCGCCGCGGCCGCCGCGCCTCGGCTCCCGCCGCCCGGCCCTCCCCCGGGCCGCTCCACGTGGCTGCTCCACGTAGCCCTCCCGGCTGCGGCCGCCGCCCTGGCCCGGGCAGAGTTCGGAGCGCCAGCGCCGTGGCCTGGGTCTCCGCCCCGCCCCGCCTGGCCCGCAGACCCCGGCCCTCTGCGGCCCGCACCGGGCGAGGGAGAGCGTGTGCGTGAGTGTGTGCGTACAGACAACTAGAGAGAGAGAGGCAAAGAGACAGATGATGAAGCTGGTGCGTAACGAGAAGCACGTTTAACTGGGCGCTCACTCCCTGCTGGGACCCAGATGTGTGTGACAAGATAGAATGTGACTTACTGTTAGCCTGTGATTGTGACTGGTGTATGTGGCTGCGTGGATGAGAGACCTGTGACACGGTAGGGGGTGTTTCGTGTGGCTGTGTATCCAGTATGGCAGCACTTGAGTGAGTATGGCCAATGCGGGACTGTCCGGGTGTGTGACCGTACAGGATGTGAGTGGTGTGTCTGTTGGGGTATCTGGCTGAACTCCTCCTGAGTTGTGATGCTCAAGTGACACCCGTGACTGTCGGTTTCCGGTGAGGGTATCACTGTGTGACTGTGACTCCACATCACTGAGAAGTGGCTCCATCTGAGCCATGGTGGGGGGAGGGGGGCCCTGGGAATGTATCAGATTAAGGGTGACAGTGGCAGCTGTTTGCCAGCACAGCGTTGCAGTGTGTGGCTATAGCTTTGTGGTCAAAACGCAGTATCACCAGTTTTCTCAGAGCAGCCAGTTCCTCCACCCAGGCTTCAGACTACTTCCTCACCCACTGGCTCAAAGACTTAGTTCTTTGAGTGCAGGACTTCTTATCTCTCTGGAATCTTCAACTTCTCCCTCCCCATCAGCTCCTTCCCATCAGCATCCATCCACAACAACAAACTGACTCTCATCAAAGTCACCCTGTCCTCCTTCCTGCGGTGGGCAGGTGGATACTGCTGGACACTACCTCCTTGGGTCATGGTATCATTGGTTTCGGCAATACCATTCCTCTCTCTTTAGTCATTTTTTCTTAGTTTCTTCCTGTGTCGGAGTTCCTCTGGGCTCTCTCCTCATTCCCCATCTGCTCATGTGTTCTTCCATTCACGTAGCTTCCAACACTATCTCTTATGGGTTGAACTGTGTCTCTCAAAAATTCATGTGTTGAAGTCCTAACCCCCAATACCTCAGAATGTGACTTTATTTGGAAATAGGGTAGTTGCAGATATAATTAGTGAAGATGAGGTCATACTGGCATAGAACCTAATCCAATATGACTGGTGTTCATATAAAAAGGGGAATTTGGACACACACACACACACACACACACACACAAAGAGAACAGCATGTGAAGATGCGGCAGAGATTGGAGTGAAGCTTCTACATACCAAGGAATGCTGAAGATTTTCAGCAAACCACCAGAAGCTAGAAGAGATGTACGGAACAAGTTCTTCCTCACTGTTCTCAGATGGTACCAATCCTGCTGACACCTTGATCTTGGACTTCCAGTTTCCAGAACTGTGAAACAATAAATTCCTGTTGTTCAAGACAACCAGTATGCAGTACTTTGTTATGGCAACCCTGCAAGCTAATATATCATCTAAATGCTGATAACTACCGTATCTCAAATTCCAATCTCTGAGCCCCAGACCACTTCAGGAACTGAACAGCCTACTGATTTGTGCCGGATCTTAATTTTTAAAGGTGACTGAGTGACAACACAGAGAGGTCAATGCCACTGAAAGAAGAGTTTAATGTTACAGTTCCCTCAGGAAGAAGAGGCACAGCTCACCACACAGGACCACAGAGGGAAGCACCAGTGTAGGTCAGAAGGCAGAAAGGAGCAAGGGGAAGGCAGAGGCCACAGCTTTTATTAAACTAGAAAAGCAAGACGAGGCAGGTTAAACAGTTTAGGGTTGGCTAGTTTTAATAACTTCAGAGAGCTTTGGGGCATAGGGGCTGTCGCTAGTTGACTGGTCCCTGGTCCTGGGTTTATCTAGGAAAGGGAAAATATTGGTTTGGTGTGTGAGAGTTGGATAAAGGAAGTGGTTCAGAGTATGGCCTCTGGATTGCAGGGGAGACGTGAACAACTTTGGCTGTTAGTTTGGTCCTGTGATTAATGGATGCCAAAGAGACAAATTCAGAATCTAAGAAAACACAATTAGAACACCTACCAGCACCCCAGACGTGTCTGAATCAGAATGCATCATCTTCCTCCTCAAAACTTCCCCTCCCCCCGCTTCTCTATCCCAATGTTACCACCATGCATCCCTGAATCTATGCAGTCAGAAAACGGGGTCGTCCATGATTCCTCCTTCTTCCCCACCTCCAACCTACTACCAAGTCCTATCAGTTCTGCCTCCTATCTTAAAGATCTTCACTCCTCTCCTGAGCCTTCCCCCAGTCCAGGCAGCCCTGGTCCACGCCAAATTTCCATTAACAGCCTCCTAATTAGCCTGCTTTTCATCCCCCTTCAATTCATTCTCAAAGTAGCCTGAATGATTCTTCTGAAATATAACTCTGATCATGTCTCCCACCCCTTCTTAAAACTCTAATGGCTTTCCTCCACCCTTAGGATAAAGCCTAACATCCTTTATGCAGCTGCCCACAACCTGATTCTTGACCATCTCACATGCTCCAGCAACACCAAATTTCTTTTGGTTCCTTTAAGAAGTCTCTCACATCCAGGCTTTTGCTTGTGCTCTTCCCTCTCCTGGAACAATTACTCTCTCCCCTCCTCCACCTTGTCTTGGAAACTACTACTTATTTTTTGATTTCGCCTTAAATGTATTGTCATTTAATATCTGGGTGTGCTTTCTCTGATCCATGGAGTCTGGGCACCCTCCCCGGGGCTCCCACTGCAGTCAGTACTTCCCTTATCTACCACCATGCTCTGTTGCAGGGGTTCAACCCTGATTACACATTTGAGTCTTCCAGAGAGATTTTAAGTTGTTATTAATACTTAGGTTCCTCTCTAGACCAACCATAACAGCGGGTAGGGCCTGGGCACCGCTAGTTTTAGAAACTCACAGATAATTCCAATCTTCAGTCAAGGTTGAGTCATTGCTCTAGTAGATTACTTACTTGTTTCCATATCCCAGTGAAGACAGGAACAGCATCCCAAGTGCCTGGTACACAGTGGGTGATGAGTAAGTATCTATTGTACTTGTGACAGGGATTGTATGAGGCAGCGTAGAGTGACACTGGACGAGTGGCTTTAACCCATGTGTGTGTGACTCTGTGCGGAATGGCACTCACTCAAGTAGCTGAAACTTGACCACGTGACACTGTGGGGTGTCGGTGTGAATGATCGTGTCCAGTGTGTGAGGGCCACTGTCAATGACTGAACACTACGGGAGTGGAGTGGTGTGACCACGTCAGTGGCTGTGCCCTGTGTGTGACTGACTGAGAGGCTGGGGGGCTCTGGCCAGGCTGTTAGACTCGCCGCTCCGGGGCAGGGTTTGAGGAAGACGGAGCTGGAGCTGCCCCTCAAGATGGCGGCTGCGGGGAAGGCCGCTAGTCCTTACAAGAGGCCGCAGGGCCGGTGATCGCGAAGCGGAGGCAGGAGCCGTAGAGGCCGTTCGCAAGACACTGGGGTCAGCTCCGCGCAGACTGCCCAGGCGCGGTACACACACCCGCTCGACGTCCTAGCACCGCCCTCGCCACGCCCGCCGCCGGGAGCACGGGCGGTGGGCGGGGCCTGGGTCCCCGAATCGCCGGGCAGTGCGGGCGGAACCCGCACAGGCTGTCCAATGGCGTGTAACGGGCGGGGCCCAGCGCGCACCTGCGGGCCCACTAATCGAAGCTCAGGCGTCAGAGCCGGTCAAGAACTTGGGAGTGGACACTCAGCAACGCGAGAGGCTGAGCTCCTCCCCGGGCCCCCAAGATGACACCTGGACAGAATCCTTCTCTCTGCTTTTGGGACTTGGCGCTGCCCTCTACTTGGGCTACTACTGGGCATGGGTGGCCCCGGTGGGTGCGGGTCCAGAGCTCTCTCCGGCGGGTGTAGGTAACTCGAGTCTGAGGGCAGCTTCCAGCCGGGGCTCGAGCCCTTTGTGGAGGCTGGCTGGGTGGGGTCTCCTGGCCCAGGTGAAATTTGACGCCACAGCCCCACCACCACTCCGGCCCCGCGCTCCAGCCAGGCTCAGCTTTGCTACTATCACCTAACGGAGAGTCGGTTCTTTGCCTGCCTGGATTCTCTGCATTCCGCGTACTCCCCATGCCAGCTGAGCCTTTCAGTCATCGGAGGGGTGCTGCTGCCGATGATGTGGACAAACACTTGCAGAAAAGCGGGGTGGAAGGCATCCTGAGCTGTCAGGGAGATATGCACACTATCTTTTTCTTTTTAGGCAGTCTAGATGAGCTTCTCATTAGCTGCTCTGAATGAAGGAACCAGTTGGTGGGGTGGTGGCTAACTCCCACCATCATCCCATCAGCTTAGTAGGACCTTGCTTCTCTTAAGGACTGGCAGAGGTTCCCCGCCTAGCTCAGGACTAATGGATAACCCTAACTGTCCTTGCTCATTCAGCCCTGTTTTAAGTTCTAGGCTCTCCATGTAGAGTGCAATGGAAAAATCCGAAGAGGATGATTTTGATGAACTTGGAAATTTTATTCTCACTGAAATTTATGTAATTTACATAGCGACAAAAATCTAAATCTTTTAATTTTCATTAAACTCGGTTCTAAGTAGCTGAGTCTAACAAACCTATTGATTCAAGCCCTTTAAAATGATCTATAGGGAAATTTAATGTTACCTCAACTTTTCTGTATTTTCAGAGCTTTATACATCCTATGTATTGTTTACAGAATACATTTGCCTTAGTAAAACAATTTAAAAAACCCAAACCTCACAATACCCTATAAACCTTACCTTATATGCCTGATTTGGAAAGTCAGTCATTTCAGAACAGAGCTGTCCTGAACTAAACATTTTCCTTTGCTTACAACCAGCCACAGAGAAGTCAGAGACCTCTGCCACTTTATACTCCAAATCCTTCTTTGATTTCCAAATACTGGCTTCAATGCAGAAAAAGTGTCATTCTGGACACTCTGAGGACATGCAGTTTGGATTGTCCAGCATGGTAATGGATTGGAATTGATTCATCCACAGTGACTAATGGCATTTAACTGATTAATTCTCAGGGGTAAGTCAAGAAACACTTCACTAGAATTAAAATGAAACTAACCCACATACATCAAACCTGTGATTTATTAGCACCTTGTTCTACACAACTGAGCTGTTTGACCAAGGATTTAATAAATTGATAACTCAAAATCTTGGCAACTAGGAGGTATTATAGTAAAGTGACTAAGAGCACAAACTCTTAGTTTCAATCCCAGCTCCACTGCTACCTAGCTTTGGCACATTTTGTGACCTTTGACAACTTACTCAATATTCAAACACGTTCCCACAGGGGGATCACAGTACCTATCTCAAAGAGCTATTGTGAAGGTTATAGGATATAATCATGTAAAATGCTTAGCACAATACCTGGCACATAAGGAGCACGCAACAAATCTTACTAGTATTGGTGGTAATATCATAATTATTTTTTACACTTTTTAATAGAAGTATAGTTGACTTACAATGTTGTGTTAATTTCTGCTGTACAGCAAAGTGATTCAGTTACACAATTTATATACAATCTTTTTAAATATTCTTTTCCATTATAGTTTATCATAGGATATTGAATATAGTTCTCTGTGCTATACAGTAGGTCCTTGTTGTTTATCCATCCTGTATATAAAAGTTTACAACTGTTAACCCCAGCCTCCCAGTCCATCCCTCCCCCAACCCCCTCCCCCTTGGCAACCACAAGTCTGTCCTCTATATCCGAGTCTGTTTCTGTTTCGTAGATAGGTTTGTTTGTGTTATATTTTAGATTCCACATATAAGTGATATCATATGGTATTTGTCTTTTTCTGACTTCACTTAGTATGGTAATATCTAGTTGTATCCATGTTGCTGCAAATGTGTGTGTGTGTGTGTGGTTTTTTTTTAACGGCTGAGTAGTAGTCCATTGTATATATGTACCACATCTTCTTTATCCATTCCCCTGTCAATGGACATTTAGGTTGTTTCCATGTCTTGGCTATTATGAATAGTGCTGCTATGAACGTAGGGGTGCACATATCTTTTTGAATTAGAATTTTGTATGGATATATTTTGTATGGATTGCTGGATCATACGGTAATTCTATTTTTAGTTTTCTGAGGAACCCCCATACTGTTCTCCATAATGGCTGTACCAACTTACATTCCCACCAACAGTGTAGGAGAGTTCCCTTTTCTCCATATCCTCTCCAGCATTTGTTATTTGTAGAGTTTTTAATGATGGCCATTCGGACTGGTGTGGGTTGTTACCTCACTGTAGTTTTGATTTGCATTTTGCTATTAGAGTCATCGAGCATCTTTTCATGTGCCTATTAGCCATTTATATTTCTTCTTTGGAGAAATGTCTATTTAGGTCTTCTGCCCATTTTTTTCTTTTTTTTTTTTTTCTGCCCATTTTTCGATTGGGTTGTTTATTTTTGTTGTTGTTGAGTTGTATGAACTGTTTGTATATTTTAGAAATTAAGCCCTTGTTGGTCTCATTGTTTGCAAATATTTTCTCCCATTCTGTAGGTTGACTTTTCATTTTATGGTTTCCTTTGCTGTGCAAAAGCTTGATTAGAAAAAGCTTGACCTGCAAAAGCAGATGTAATCTTGATTAGGTCCTATTTGTTTATTTTTATTTCTATTGCCTTGGGAGGCTGACCTAAGAAAATATTGGTACAATTTATGTCAGAGAATATTTTGCCTAATATCATAATTATTATTCCACTTTGCCTTTTGCTAGCTGTGTGACTTTGGGCAAACAACTTAACCTGTCATAGTTTCTTATAATAAGGTTGGGTTTAGCCTAGTGCCAGCAAATAGCATACAATGAATCACAGGTGTTATTATTCCAGGGCTTAAGGCCCAGGGTACGAGTCACAACAGTCACAGTACCAACCTGGCCTCTCTAGTTCATAATTTACGTAGCCCCTTTTGACTGCAAGAAGAAATAGGAATTGGTCCTTGGGTCCCTTTAGGCCTGCAACAGAAATGCAATTTCTATTTCTCGAGTCTGAGGCCTTCTGTCTTTGTACAGCATACTCCCCCTTCATAAGCCTTCTCTGTGGCTGGGCCCTCTCATTCACCTGATGTGTATCCAGAGAACCAAGCAGAGAGGTTGAAAGATAGGGCTAAGTGCCCAATGACCTCATCTGGCCCACCATCCTATCCCTGTTACCTTCCTCCTGGCTGGCATGAAGAAAGAGAAAATCTGTTCCCATTGGGACTATTCCTCCTTTAGAGCATGGTCTAACAGCAGGGGCTGTTAGGTAAGAAAATGAGGTGGTGCGGTACAAAGAAGCCCTTCAGCAGTGAGCACATGCAACAGGGAATGGGAATATGCAACAATGGAATGCTAAAATCAGAAGGAGCCAGCGTGACCGGAGCTAGTTTTGAGACGAGAGTGTGGATAATTCAACTGGCAGAAGTGTAGACAATTCAAAAGGCAAAAGTCACAGATTAAATGGTGCTGCATTTCTTCAGCCTCTGTCCAGGATCCCAACCTTTCCTGCAGATCAGCTGGGCAACTTATATTACCTACTCTCTCCAAAATGGGTTTGGGGCATGGATAGGTTGAGTGTGGAAGTCGGTTCAGGGGCAATTCTGGAGAGGTGACACTCTAGGACTGGAGTTGGGGCCCTAGTGGGACTATCTTAACAGAGGTGACTTGACCATTCCAGACTGAGGTATGCTAGATTTCTCACGCCCAAAGCAGTGCCCTGCAGGCTGGCCTCTGGAAAGGGGTCACTCCAGTATCAGGTACCTCACTGGCTTGGTGCAAAAATCAGGGGAGTGGGGCACACTGTGTTGTGTGACTAGAGGCCACAACTGGTGACTGGGTCCCAGTTTCTGGCCTTCCTGGAGCGACACTGTCCAGTCACTGTGGAGACTTTCTACCCTACGCTCTGGTGTTTTGAGGGCGGCTACAAACCATCTTCAGAGTCTTACTGCAGTCTCCGCCTGTAGCCCCTTACTCAAGGTAAGAAGGGACAGATGGGGGTGAACATGAAGCTGCAAGTACAGGGGAATCCTACTCGTGTACCTCTTTTAAAATGGGGGCAACCTTTGACCCATCTACCTCAGTGTGCTAAGGGTAACCAGAGTGGCTATATGGAAAGGCTATTTAATTGCACAACCATGAGGTAATACTCAAATCTTTTATGTCCCATTATACCTCGTTACAGTCTTAATGTTTTGCATAATGCATGCCCTCAAATGATGCTGGTAACTTGTGGGAGTTGTTTGGGGAGGGAGAGGGCGTAAAATCTTTCAAAGTACATGGAGTTCCTAATAGTATCTTTCTGTGCCCTTTTCTCCAAAACCACAGGGATGTTCTCGAAACCCCGGATAGCGGACAGCTCCTCCTAGACTGGGCCAGCAGCCTAACAGCAGTCAATATCCTGACCCTACCACCCAGCCATTGTTATTGCTGCTTCCTGGTATCACGGGCAGTAGTTAGGAGACATATATCTTGCACTAGTTGACCAAGCTTTGGAGGATGGCTACAGGTAAGGATGGACACACAGCCCAGCGGAATTGGGTGGTGTCTGATAACTTAGAATTGTGTGCTGGGGGTCGGGGGAGGGTCAGTTCAGACCCTGCTATGGGGAGAAGGTACCATATGAAGGGCACCTTTTGACGGAGGCCTTTCTGAAACCTACCAAAAGGGGAGGAGCCCTTATGGAGTGTCTGCCTAACATGTACCTATGTGTGCCCCAGGGCTATCGTATTTAATAACCGGGGCTGCCGTGGGGAAGAACTGCTGGCAAGTACCCTCCTTCCTCGTAGTGGCCCTTCACCCTGCTCCCTTCAGAGACCCTGGGCCGCAACCTACCTGTCTTCCATTTCTTGAGTCCTTTCACTTTTCTGCCTTCTGGTCAGGGCCTCCTTCCCTACCCAGTGATCCGGTTTGCCTCAGACCTACAGGGCCCTCTGTGCCAGCAACACTGAAGATCTGGAGACAGTCGTGAACCACATAAAGAGCCGCTACTCCCAAGCTCCACTGCTGGCTGTGGGCATCTCTCTCGGAGGGTAAAGGCTGCCTGCACTTAACCCAAAGGCCCAGTCTTCCTTCTTCTCTTTCCTCCTCCATGTTCTCTCCCGTTCTCCTGTTCCAACTCACCAATACAAACCCTTCTTTCATGGCCCCTGGGCCAATCCTGCAGGATATGAGCTGAACCACCTGGCTCGAATGGGACGGGCTGCGGGGTTGGTGGCAGCACTGACTCTACCTGCATGCTGGCATACCTCTGAGACCACCTGCTCCCTGGAGACCCCACTGAACTCACTGCTCTTCAGTCAGCACCTCACTGCTGGGCTCTGCCGAGCTGGGAACCGGTAGGGTCTTGACAAGTGGAAAAGGGAAGCAGACAGGGTAGGATGGCAGACATGCCAGGTTCTCCCAGTGCTCGGGTCAGTTCCCTATCTGGATTTTCTCACTCGTGAGATAGGACAGAGGCTGGCTCTGGGTCAGGTCCAGGAGTAGAGCCAAAGCCCTATGTGTTCTTTTTTTTTTTAATTTTTCTTTTTGGCTGCGTTGGGTCTTCGTTGCTGCGCGCAGGCTTTCTCTAGTTGCGGCGAGTGGGTGCTACTCTTTGTTGTGGTGCACAGGCTTCGTTGAAGTAGCTTCTCTCATTGCGGAGCACAGGCTCTAGAGCGTGTGGGCTTCAGTAGTTGTGGCTCGCAGGCTCTAGAGCACAGGCTCAGTAGTTGTGGCACGTGGGCTTAGTTGCTCCATGGCCTGTGGGATCTTCCCGGACCAGGGGATCGAACCCGCGTCCCCTGCATTGGCAGGCAGATTCTTAACCACTGTGCCACCAGGGAAGTCCCACCCTATGTGTTCTTTTGCAGAAACAGAAAGGTGATGGAAAAGGTGGTGAATGTAGACTTTGTGCTACAGGTAGAGTGTTTCAACTCTCCCCTCTCGGCCCAAAACTGTTCTTCCAACACCTTATTCCCTTTCCTCATCCTAGCCTATCCCACCCGCCACCACCTGCAGGCCCACACAATCCACCACTTTGATGAGCGCTACACAACCGTGGTCTTCGGATATCAAGACTGTGCTGCCTATTACCGAGCAGCAAGCCCAAGAACCAAGGCAGATGCCATCCAGCTCCCTGTGCTCTGCTTCAATGCAGCTGATGACCCCTTCTCCCCGGTCCACGGCGAGCACCTGGGATCTGGACGCTTCAGGCCCCGGGGGAAATGGGCCATGCAGTGCAAGCGGAAAGAGCCTGGGCTCTCAGCAGAGGCCAGGGCTCCTGACCTCCTCTCCAACGCCTCCTAGCCCTTCCCCTACAGGCTGCCCAACATTCTCCCCACGTTGCACTGCTCGTCACAGCTCGGGGTGGCCACATCGGCTTCCCGGAAGGACTGCTTCCCTGGCAGCACTGCTATGTGAGCCGCCTCATGCATCCGTATGCCAAAGCCATCTTCCAGCACCCAGCAGAGCTGCTCAGCCTCAGGGCACCCACTCCTCCTGAGGGAGGCAAAAGCTGACAAGAGTACCATCTGCAGCCTCAGTTCAGTCTTCGCTTGTTTATTAAATATCAACTTTTCCTGCCTAATGCGCTGAAGTTCATTTTCCCTTTTCTCAAGGCTAGGGTAGACTGTCCAGGAATTTACTGCATATTTGGCCTGGCTGGCTTGGAGCTACCCAGTTGAACCCAAAGATGACTGCCTGGTTCTTCCTTTTGCCCCTTCCTTCTCTAATACCAAGTCCCAGGCCAGTGCTTTTCCCAGCAAATGCCAGGAGCTCATGTGAAGAGCAACTGGCCACGAGGCTGTAAGGGGAGGAGAAGAAAACGACTGTTTCTGCAGGAAGGAGAGCAGTGCCTCCAGGTTCTTGGGCATCTTCACATATTTCTGGAGAAAGGACAAGCTCAACTATGGAGCCTCTGGTAGGCAGAGGGAAGGAGACAGGTGGTGTGGCCTGGCCTTCAGACACCACTGTCCTGGGCGGATCCACAGATGACGAATGCAAGGCTCCCAGGACTCAGTGTCGCACAGGGCCACAGCCAAGCTTTAACTGGAAAGGGCAGGCGTTGCCCATTAGTCTCATCAGAGGCAACCTCAGCTGTGGACCCAGATGGAGCGAGCAGTGGTAGGCCCACACTGGTCTTAAAAGGTGGCAGTGTCCAGGCCCCTGGCTCCCTGGGAGCAGGGAGGCTAAAGAAAAGCTGGAAAGGCCCTCTGGAGCAGCAGGATGGTCACAACGATAAGCCCGACACACAGCAGCAGCAGCAGCCATATTGGAACACTCCCTGCAAGGGGGGAAGGGAAGGAGTCAGGAGGCAAAGGAGCATCCCAGCCCAGAGAACAGAACCATTCAAGAAGGGGGTAGTGGCTACAGATAAGCATCCCATTCTCCAGGAGGCAAGTTTTCACTACAGCGAAAGCTGGGGTGGTTCCCCCACCGCACCCACCCCAGTGACTCACGTCGTGAGGGCAGCAGGTGTAGCTGGCAACGGCTATCAACAGCCACAGAAAACAGAGCAGTTTCCTGGGACCCAAGGAGCTCTGGACCACGACCCTTCTCAGGTAGAAAGGCCACATCCGTCACCACGATGCCATGGGCCTCCTTCATGTAGTACAGGCGCTGGGGACAGGAGGAAAACCAGTGAGGGAAGGCCCAACTGGGAACATTCCTTCCGGAAAACACGGCCTCTGCCCCCAGAAGACTTTCCCGCTACAGGCTGGGCCAGACTCCTTCCTGCACACTCAGTGCAGAAGCAGGCCTAGAATCCCCACCCCAAAAGCCCTCAGGGCTGTGCCCACCTCCACTCATTACCTGGAGAGAGAAAGCTATGTAGATGGCAACAGAGCCAGTGACCGTGCCCAGGCCTAGGAAGGTGCCCGATTCACTGCAACAAACAATAAAATGCTCACTGTCCTGGAGTCTGTGCCGCAACGACAGTCCTCAGGGACTCACATCTCCCTGAGCTCCCCCTGGTCCCCCTATACCCAGCCAAGCCACCACTGTCTCACACCTGACGCTAAGGCAGGAGATGACTTCATGGCCACAGGACTTGGTCCGAAGGGGCAAGAACGTGGAGCCATCCCAGGCTGTGAGGTAGCAGGGCGGGGGCTGGCGCAGACGCTTGTGGGGAATCTGCACCGTGAAGAGTCGCAGCCCAGCAGGCTGGTCTGGAACCTGCCCAAACCTGGGGGCCGGGCGAGAAGCTGTTCAGCTCCTGGGGCCTGCCCAACCCTCCTCAGAGGTGTGTGCCCTCCTGCACCCTGGTGAGGCCTAGGGTAACACCCGACAGGGCTCCGACCCTCCCCAGCTTCCCCCCAGTCTCCTCCCACTCCCCCACATCTAGGCTGTGCCTCCTTCAGCCACCCTCTGGGGTCTCCACACCTGCAGGCCTGGTAGCGGTAAGGCGTGTTAGAAAAGGTGGGTCCGTTCTCTTGCCAGTGCAGCTGTGTCACCAGCTGATCCTTCTGCCACACGGAGGCCTTAAGGTCCCAGCCCACAGTTACCAACTAGTCAGGAATCAAGATTCCAAGGATGGACGGTTAGGGGATCCACTTACTGGGCAAGCAGCATAATCACCTACTTTCTCCGCCCTCTCAACTCCTCACCTTGCCATCAGGCCCCAAAGCCAGGTCCTCAATCTCCCTTTCGTGGGCTTTGAACTCCAGAACTTTCTCCAAGGTGGGTACCTGCAGCCAAACCACCACCACAGTTAGCCTAGATACCCGGCAAGAGCGCAATGATACTCACCCCTCTTCTCTACTAATGGCCGCTCAGTGCAGGCTTCACTCACAAGTTCCCCAGAACCCATGTTCAGTTTCTCACAATTCTGGCCTTGCTGCTACTGACACTCATCCTCTAACCTCCCAAAACCACACCTTCCAGACACGAACGTAGCCATCCGTCCCTCCAGTGGCAAGCAGGGTACTATCATGGTTGAAGCATACAACTTTCTGCAGTGGATCAGTGCTGAAGTCTGTCTGCACCGCCTGCAAATTCTCTACGCTGAATTCTATCTCCTCCTGGTGGGTTTCAGCTCCAGACTTCTCTGCTGGGGCAGCCCCTTTCCTTTGTCGAGGCCCCTGCTCCTTGGAACCTGCAACACAAACAGCCTGCCAGGTTCCAGGTTTCTCAAGTAAGTAGTACTGGCCCCCTCTCTAGTGGTGAACATCGAACTTCTCGCCTGCTACCATAACCCCACTTCCAGCCCCACTTCATCAGAGACCAAGATGAGAGAGATCTTACTTATTTAACCCTCTTCCCAAACCTAGAGAGGGGGCTCTCACCTGCCTTCCCTGCCTTGTTTTTGCTCTTCTGCTGATGGATCTGGAAGCGCAGGAGCTGACAGTGGGCATCCTGCCCCGCTGCAAGGATGTTACCAGCCAGCGCCAAGTTCATGGTGGCCCGTGTCTCTGTGTCATGGGAGTGTAGTAAGGAGGCGCTAAGGCGCCCATTAATCTGCTCCAGTTGCAGAAAGTGCTGTGGGAGAGGGAACCAGGGTGAGGTTCAGAGAGCACCTCAAGGGCAAACTTACATCCTATAGTCTGATGCCCTACCCCTTTGCTAACTACACTTTCTAGTTTAAAAGACTTTTTGCAACCTTTTTCTTTTTTGAGCCTCACGAATCTGTACAGCAAGCAAGGCTCTAGTTTGCAGGACAATGTGATGACGCTCAGAAGAGTGAAGAAACCCTAGCTTCTATTTCACTCGCCGCTGCTATTAGTCTGGCAGACAAGTCTATGTGGTCCCCCTGGAAAAAGCCAGGATAAGACCCCTGGTGCTAATCCTGAGGTCGAACTGAAGCGTTCGTGCCTAGGTAGCGCCGTGTGCAGTTTTCACTTTACCTTAGGAGCCTCTCAACTGACCGGTGAGTTCTCGATTGAAGTTCGCGCCGGGACGCCCGGCATGCCGGGGTTCCCACCCGGGAGGGGCCGGGTCCGAAGCAGGGGTGCGGCCCGCCCCCAGACCCTCCCAGAATCGCCCTCAGCCCGTGGCGCGACCCGGCCCCAGGGGCACTGTACTCACCACGCCGTTCTTTATGCCGGTCTTGGCGGCGCCTCCTCCGCCCGCAGCGATGAGCAGCCCAGCGCTGGGGTCGACCTGAAGCGCGTACAACGGGAACGGGGCCCGGTACAGCTCTGGCGCCCGGCGCCGACCCATCCCGCTCGCCCAGCGCTTCACTGTCTGCGCCGAGGCACCGGGGACATGCCGCCCGGCCTTCGACTGCTGCTACGGTCGCTGTTGACTTTGGTCCGGTCGCCGCCGGGAGGACTCCAGACCCCTCTCACAGCCGCCGGGTTGCAGAAACTGTAACTACACACAAGGCTCCCTATCGCTGCCGCGGGCCGCCTAACCCGGTCTCGCAGACGCGCAAGACGCAGGCGCACCGAGCCCGCACTCCTCACGCAGGCGCAGAGCCGCCAATACGCGTCAGCACTAGCCGACCGCGGGCAGGCGGAGCCCCAGCTCCAGGATGCCGGTCTCCGCCCGCTTGTGAAGGCGGACTCCGCCATCTTTTTGCGGGGCTTTGGGGGCGCGCACCAGCTTCAAGGAAATGTCTTGTTCTGCAGTAGCGGGGTGGGGACGGGGTGTGCCAATAAAGGTTAAGGGAGGTTAATAAGCCTTTAATAAAGAAATCCGTGGATTAGGACTGTCCACACTTCAGGAGTGATACGCAGACTCGTCGAGCGCAGCCTTTACGTTTACCCAAGAGAAGAAGTGATTTATCCAAGGTCTGCCTCGCACCCCACCCTCCTGAGGGGGCCCTTGGATTTCTGATCTCCAACGTGAGGACCCCGTGTTTCTCTGCAGTGAACGCTAGGCTTGCCCTTGCCTGCAAGGAGACATGTCCTGCTGCTCCCCTGGCATTGTCAGCATGAGTCCTTTTAATCTAAGGTGCAGCCAGAGGAAGGGGCCCAGTGGCTTCGTCTCTGGGGATGCCATTACCTGTCCCAACAAATCGAATTAAATGGGTGAAGGGCCTGGCAGAGCCCTCTGCACATCTCAGGTGCTCAGGGCTTATGGGTCCCTTGCCCTCCTCAGATATATGGCACTCACTCTCCTTGGTCATTCTGTTTCCTTTGACTCTCCTCCACCCCTTGTTGGGTTCTGGTCACCCTGAAGGTACAGCCACCCACAGGATCTGCTCAGCAAGACACAAACACAAGTTTTGCAGGGTCAGGCTTTATTGGATACACCGAAGGCTGAGTGGGGCCTCGGGTGCCCTTGGTCCTCTTCAGCCAGGAGAAAACAGACTCCACAAGGGGCTCCCAGGGTTCAGGGCTGGAGAACATAGCTGACCTCCAGCCAGCCAGCCCTTCAGAGTGTCTCGGGGGCCCCCTGAGATCTGGGGCCGGGCAGGGATGGTGGGGTTCGGAGGAGGTGCTCCAGGGAGCCTCCGTGGCTCTAGAGTGGTGACTTTCGGAGAATGGGCTCTGGAGAGGCAGGCCTCTTTGAGGCAGAGGAAGGTCTGGGCTTCAGGGAGACAGTGGACTGTTTTGGTGCCTGAGTCTGAGACCCTGAC